TTACTCTGCTACTCTGGGTCAGTTTCCCTGTGTCTGCCTTTGATGCCAGTTGATGATTAACCAGTGTGCTTAATTCTTGTTGTTTCCTTGTTCTGATGATAGGTAGTGAGGGTTCGACCAAATGACAAGGACGCAAGGATGAAGTATCAGGAATGTAACAAGATCGTGAAACAGAAGGCTTTTGAAAGAGCCATTGCCAGCGATGAGATAAAAAAATCTGTTGTTGACTCTCTGGACATTGAAAACATGAGTAAGTTTCCTCTGTTATTGGACAAATATATATATATAAAAAAATATATCTCTATTCATAATGTGCTTTACCTTGTGCTGAGTGAATAAAACATTATGTTGCATGTAAAACAGAAAGTAATGATAACAAAATCCACTGCTGAGAACCATTTGATTCTCTACCCTACTTGTTGATGTTTCATCTGAAGTTAAGATGATCTTGTATTGCAGCGATTGAGGACGACTACGATGGCCCCAAACTCGAAGATGGGAAAGTCACATTGACGTTCATGAAGGAGATGATGGACTGGTTCAAAGACCAGAAGAAACTGCACAGAAAGTGTGCTTATCAGGTAAACGTGTTCGATCATATGAAATACAGTCACTGAGGGAAACATACCTGTACGTGCAATTAAACTGTCTTTCTCTTTCAGATTTTGGTCCAAGTTAAAGATGTTCTTTCGAAACTACCAAGTCTTGTTGAAATCACATTAAAAGAGGTGAGGACTTTGCAGATAATCACTCGTGAAGTTGCTGTATGACAAGCCCATAATAGGACTACAGGGGTTAAAGTATAAGATGATATTTTTTCATGGTTGTTTTATGCAGTTTGTTGATGTTTTTAAGACTCTATTTCTCTTTTCCACAGGCAGAAAAAATAACTATTTGTGGTGACACCCATGGGCAATACTACGATCTCCTCAACATCTTCAAGTTGAACGGCTTACCCTCAGAGACCAACCCTTATGTATCCTTTCTTTTTGCAGACAGCCACCTCAGCTTTTTAATATGTGTTCACTGCATTCGTCTTCTTTGTTTCTACTGTTCTGTGTCTAAAAAGAAAACAACCAAAAGCCTCACATCCAGAACTTGTGCTTCATGATGCTTAACCACAGAAATTAGCTGTTCAACGGTGACTTTGTGGATCGCGGCTCTTTCTCTCTCGAGGTCATTCTTACCCTCTTCGGCTTCAAGCTGCTCTACCCCGACAACTTCCACTTGCTTAGGGGTGAGAGCGCTCACATTGTGCCTGTGCATGAGTCTACTGATGCATGTCTAGTATCTGCAGATGTGTGCCGTAACATGTACGATTTAATGTGTCACACTTAAGACATTGTAATTGTGAGTGTGTTGTCATAAAGTTCACAACACTGAAATTCATTTATTTGCCTTTTTTCGGCTTCACTTTTTATTTGGTTTCTTGTCATATATTAAAGACTTTGTGTTCAGGTAATAAAGTTGTTTAACCAAGATTTGTACCTGCAGGTAACCACGAGACAGACAACATGAACCAGATGTATGGATTTGAAGGGGAGGTTAAAGCCAAGTACACCGCCCAGATGTTCCAGCTGTTCAGCGAGGTCTTCCAGTGGCTGCCTCTTGCACAGTGTATCAACAGCAAAGTACTGGTAAGCAGTGGCATTGTGTGCTCACAGCAGTCACGTGGTGATGCAGCTCATTTTGTTGTTGCTCCCCAGGTCCTGTCTTAGATACCAAAACTCTGTTATTTTTTGGAGAAGATTTTGGCATAGAGTAGAACTTGGAAAAGGGTTTGGTGTAGTGAAGATACAAGACAAATAAAAGAGATAAAAATAGTAGACCCCCACAAACTGTCTTCTTTTACAGTCAGTGTGTTTAAATCCATGTTTTCTCTAAGAGACCTTTACCAGGCAATGCACTTGTGATGGATTATTTAAATTATTTTAAAATATAGTGACTGTTAGTAAAGACGCTGTGTGTAGGTTTACTTTTTGTATAATGGACGAGCAGCCATAATATACCCCAGTCCTTCTAATGACTTTAGTTATCAATGATTTATGAAACCCTTCATGATGCAGTGGTTTGCTATATTGTTACACAGTCCTAATAAGATTCTCCTCCTCAGGTAATGCACGGTGGACTGTTCAGTGAAGATGGTGTGACATTGGAAGACCTCAGGAAGATTGAAAGGAACAGACAGCCTCCAGACTCAGGTAGGGTCAGACTCCAACTGCATCATCGGTATAAAACTGACTCTAAGAAACCATCTCTAGAAAGAAAAACGGGTACATTTCAACACCTTCATCCGCTTTTTCACAGGTCCCATGTGTGACCTCCTCTGGTCAGATCCACAGCCTCAGGTCAGTTCCCATCCACCCAATACCTCATTAGGTCTATTTGGTCGGGAGTATTCGCTGATTTTTGTTAGAGCAACATTCAGTCCACTTTTATTTTGAAGTAAGAATTAATTTATCTCTCTCTGTCGTACAGAATGGCCGTTCAGTCAGCAAGCGAGGAGTGAGTTGTCAGTTTGGGCCAGATGTGACGGAGCGCTTCCTGGACCAGAACAAGCTGGACTACATTGTGCGTAGTCATGAGGTCAAAGCTGAGGGCTACGAGGTCACTCACTCAGGGAAGTGCATCACCGTGTTCTCAGCACCCAACTACTGGTACGTCGCCATGCGGGCAGCTTAAGAGTGTTTGAGTCAGCTGTTACTAAGACTGTTCATTTTAACTGTGGTGTGTTTGTATTCTGCCATCCTCCAGTGATCAGATGGGAAACAAAGGAGCTTATATCCACCTCAGGGGATCAGACCTCAAGCCAGAATTTCACCAGTTCACTGCTGTGGTCAGTATCCTGTACTCTAAATCGTTATGTTTGTTAGAATTGTCATCATGTGTCATCACGCCCATTTGGTTGTGGTAAGAATTTACTGAAAAGCTCCATTATATAGCTTTTGATCATAGGATTAGCTCTGTGCACAGTGTTACAGTGACATCTACTGGAGCATCAGGTGTAAACTGGTCCTGTTCAGCCCAACTGTCTCTACCTCTTTATTTATAAGTAGAATTAATAAGTAAAAAGTAAACCAACCAAATGGGATGAAGGCAAAAACGACTAAGATATCTACTAAAAACAAACACAAATTTGACTAGTAGTTGGTAGGGCTGCACAAATAATCAAAATATTATTTAAATTGCAATATGAGTGCAATTTTTTTGGTAAAATGTGTAATAAAACAGCTTTATAATGAAGTACTGTACTTCTGCAGAGATGCTCTGGCCTACAAATGTTGTTGTCCAGATGTAACATAAATATGTTTGTTTGGTATAGACCTCAATAAATGTAAAATCATGATTTTAATAGTTTTCTTTTCAATGAAAATGAAAGTGAAAAAATTGTAATTCCCACTGATTGTAAATTATATCTCATTCGTAATACCTGTCAAAAAACCACAGTAAGATTTTTTTAGCATACTGTGCAGCCCAACTAGTTTGGCAAGTTAACTTTGCATCAGGCTACTGATGATTCATTTGGAAGCCAAACTAGAACAGCTTTTAAAAAACATGTTGTAGCTTGATTTAATATTTGTCTTCCTCTCATTCTTCTTTTCAGCCTCATCCGAATGTCAAACCCATGGCATATGCCAACACGCTAATGCAGTTGGGGATGATGTAGAGGCCACGCAAATCTGTCTGTGACACTGACGACCTCCCATCTGACCTGAACCATCCCAGCCACCTCACTCCCTCCAGTGCTCGGACATACTCTCGTTCATGCTTAGCCTAAGGGATCCCTCTCCCCGACAAACTTCCGCTAGTTGTATGCAGAAAGCACGTGGTGTAGTTCCGATGGGAAGAGATCACTTAACACCAGCCCAGTTCAGAACTGGGTATGTTCTTTCATGTTATCGGTTAAAACTGGAAAAAATCTCCATTCGCATTGTCCTTTTACCTGCTCATATGTTCCATCACTGGGTAAAGAAACCAACTCTTGAGAATTTCAGTCGTAAATATCTGAGATACTCGGCAGATGGGGTCAAATAGCTGGTATGTACCAAAGATCTGTAATGAAGTGATTGTTCGGTTTTTACAAGGAGCATCTTGTGACTGAAACCTAGCATTGTACTGTTGGCCTGTGTACACAGCTTAGAGCATTGTAAACTGGGTAAAGAGCAGCGTGTCTATCAGTGTTTCTCAAACCATCCTACAGTATGTCAATTTTTATTTTTATTTTACCGGAATACAAAAAAATATGAGTACATGTATAATACCAGTCCAAAAAAAAAAAGAAAGATTGATTGTCTCTGGGTACACTCTTAAAGGTGCTGTATTGCCATTAGTGGTGTATTTAGTTGGTTCAGTCATGTAGCTGGTAACATTTATTTTGCACTGCTTCCGGTTGAGGAAGATACTGCTGCTCTCCGTGTTTTCATCCGTTGTTGTGCCACTCACCCGGCAGCTCCCGCACAGTCTCCTCTCCAAACTAGCTTTGGTGTAAGGCAAACACTGATGGCACTCTAGTCTCCAATACATGTTCGATTACTGGTGACTTATTACCCCCCATATGTGGATTTCTTCAGTACACAATGTCCAAAATGCAACCCTGTCTTGAAACGCACAGCTGCATTGTCCAGTGGCCCTCAACTTTTTAGATAAAAGAAAGTACACTGACGTGTATGTATATATACTGTATCATTTAAAGATTCCGTGTAATGTTTGGAGAAAAATATTGAATAAAAAAATCCAGTCCAGTGATTTTAGAAACAAGCTGGTATCTTTATTTATGTGTGTGTGTTTTGTAATTCAGTGTCCTCCTGCGGTCGGGGAGTTTACAGTTTAATGATACAGAGGAGAATTATAACTAATTATATAATAAATAATACATATAATTTAATATATAGATAGATAAAAAGAAGGGCTACTTCCTTTTATATATTTTTTTTAAAGGAGGCAGTCGCATAGATTTGACGTCACGAGTCTCAACAGCTGATCTTTCGTCAGCTAAGCGCCGCGGCTTGACAACACAGCACGAGTTTCACCTTGTTGTGAACCCAGCTGCACACGAAAGCCAAAGAGCCCAGGAAGCAACAACAACAACAAGAAGCCGAGATGCCGAAATATTGCTCGGTCCCAAACTGTAAGAATGACTCCGGATGCGGCAGCGACAGGAAAAGCTTCTACAAGTAAGATGTTTGTTATTAAGTGTTTGTGTTGGGTAGCTGTGGTAGCTGCTCGGATACTGCTGGATCTGAGTTTCGGTGAGTCAGGCAACCGACAACGTGGATTTCTACCGACTGAGATGAATCTGTGTAGTTGTTAAAAGTCTGGATTTTATCAGTTTTCTGCAGTTCTGTGAAGTTTGTGTCTTCTTGTTTTGACCTTTGAGATCTTACTGAGACAGTCGGAGTCCTGATTGAGTCAGGATTTGAGACATCTGTCGTGTAACAAGCAACA